TCCTCTGGGAACACTGGAGCTGGGAAACAACTGTGTCCAATCCCGTGGCCTGGACCTACAGAAGGGTAGAAAGTGTACAGCTGCAGGAGATACTAACAAGGGTTCCAAGAAAAGGAGGATAATGCAACTTGCTTAAGTAGGACTTATCACTATACCCTCTTTCTGTTAAAAGCTCCATATCCTTCTAGGGCTGTGCTTAAAAGACTACGTTTTCTCCTTGAAAATAGAGCTCCATCCTGGGGCAAAGGGCAGGTATTTACACTTTTCTGGAAGTGAGTTTATCCCAGTTGCTAATTAAACACAAAGTTTAATAAGACAAGGTGCTTGCCCTAAAAGAGCTCAAAGTCTAGTGGAAGACTGCACTCAAACACAATGATATAAAAAGTCTGTTTCAAGGGGAATGAGACCAAGTGCTTCACCTTAACCGGGGAGACCCATGGAACAAGGGTGGCAGCATGACAAAGGGCAGTCCTCCAGAGGGAAGTGTAAACCAAAGTCCTCTGGTAAATGGGAGGTCTGTTGTCCAGTTCCTATCCACTACCTTGTTATGTATTAAACTTACTCCATTTTCCAAAAAGTATAAAGAATAAAGTGACTCTCAATCAATTAGAACGCAGGGTTGTAAAAGAATGCTATTTTTCAACTCTGGGTGGAAAGATCTTACTGACGAACCTCTGGGCTGTTTCCAGTTTGGGGTTATTTTGAAATAACCTGCCGCGAACATTCATCTACAAGTGCCTTTGTGGACATGTTTTTATTCATCTCAAATAAACATCTAGAGTAGAATTCCCTGGTCAAGGGCTTGTGTACATTTAGTTTAAAACTTTTATTAGAAGGGACTCAATAGAGATGAAGTGAGACTGTTTAAAAACATGTTGGCTAAAATGAAAAGATTTTTTCTCTTTGTGATCACCCCAGATATCTGCCAAGGAAAGCAATTTTACTTAAATTTTTTTAAAAAAACATTTATCATAGTTTCCAAAACTGGAATCTCCTCTAAATCAAGGAGAATGTCATAATTGACATGTTAGAGATCTATCCATTTGTAAACTGTTGCTTTACTGGATCCACTCTGCCATTTTGTGCCATTACTAACATCCTATTTCATACCTCTTTTTAACTGAGTCCTCTGCTCTTCGACATAGAATGATTCTGTTTGGTTGGGGAAACTTGTCATAAAAGAAGTTCAAACTATTGGCAAACTCCTGGAACGTACATTATCAAAAACTTTTTGTTGACCACCTCCCTCCCTCATCAAATAACTTTTTTTCCAGATCAAAAAAAATCCTTTCATTCTGAAGGAGAAACTTCTTTAGCGGGTCACCTTAGTAATATTCTAGGATTTTATCCGTCCTGCTCTTATTTCTAAGATATTTGCTTGCAACCTAAGTAACCTGTGATGCAGGATCTCCAAAGTGTTTCTTTCCTTATTAACTGAATTAGATGCCTCATTAAAGACTCTAACAGAGCAATGCCAAGTTATCTCAACTGGAAACAGATACTGCTAATCCAAACATTAATCAACTACCTGTAGAAATTGAGGCTATAGGCTGGGCGTGGTGGCTCGTGCCTATAATCCCAGCACTTTGGGAGGCTGAGGCAGGAGGATCACCTGAACCTGGGAGGCAGAGGTTGGGGTGAGCCGAGATTGCACCACTGTATTCCAGCCTGGGCGACAGAGCGAGACTCTGTCTTATTAAGAAAAAAAAAAAAAAAAATTGAGGTTATAACCCATATATGTTAGAACAAGGACTTAGGATGCCATCCGCAGAGCACTTTTGAGACTAGACTAGCAAACCATCAAAGCTGAGATGTCAAGGCCCCTGTAGAGCAACCTTTTAACAAGGCTTTATTTGTGTATGTCTTAGTATGTTTTTAACCTTTGATTAGAGGGTGGAAAATAAAAGATTTGACTCACCAGTCGAACTTTTCAGCAATGTAGAATACTGAAGTCAGATCCTGTCTGTTGGAAAACTAGAAAGAAGACTCCCGGTTTAAATAGGATTTAGAAAGTCAGAAAGGAGACACAGTGCTATTAACTGGAATGGACACAGGCATGATTTCCTATGTTACAGTACCTGCCATCAGAAAATCTCAGCACCCTTTATGAGAAGGCCCTGAGAAAAAGCTTTTTTGTAATTGGAAAGAAATTATAAGATAGAAGGCAGAAGTCTCCATGTTTTAGTCAAAGATTCTCCTGTGCATTTACACAAAGCTTTTACCTAAAAGTCAAGACAGCATATTCTTGTCATTGAGAATTCAGAATAGACAGCCTGAAAGTACAAATACATTCTTATATTAACATTAGGCTCTTGAAAGACACAAATCTTTTCATAAAAAATTTATTTCTCTGTAAATACAAATTCCAACATCAACAAACAATAGTCCAGTGGAAAAATACTAGCCATTAACATTGAAAACTTTTTTCTTAATTTAATAAATAGAACTTTGGCATTCAAAATTCTAGCTGTAAACCCTATTAAAAAACAAAACAACAACAAAAAAAAACCCCTTTACAAAAAAGAGGCAAGAATGATAGATCAGAAGGCATAAGCCAACCAGTGGCTTCACTTTTTTTTTTTTTTTTTTTACAATAACTATTTCAATTAAGTCATGAACACTATATTTACACATGAGGTATTCTGGGTGGTTCAAAAACTGAACCTAGTTTACAAAACCACCAGTCATAGTGACTGATTATACACTGTGCTGTGCTTTTTAATGTAACCACCTAGCACCTTACTACTTCTTGTCATCACAACAATGCGATGTTAAGTTTCATGTTTATGTATTTAACTATACATATATGTACATACACATACACACCAATGAATACATTCTAAAGGAGTTTCCAGCTCACTATACAGGGAAGGCTGGGCTCCAAAACCATATATCTGATAATTCCTCTCATGTTTACTAAGGTATCCACCTAGTAATAAAAAACAGCTCCTTGCTTAAAAAAAAAAAAAAAAAATCCCTTAATCAAGTCTATTTACACAAGAACAAGGTGCAATAATCAACATTCTTAGAACTCATGTAAAATAGAAATAAATGCTTACTGCAGGCAAAAAGGCACAAAAGGTTCTCTCTGTGTACAGCCACAATAGTGTTATTAGACTTGTTGATTTAAAACTATATTCTTACATTTAGCATTTTTTTAAATAAGAAAAAAAATCCAAAATCTTTCCCCTACATGATTAAATGTATGATATAATCATATGGCAATATGCCACCCACGGCATTTTAGGGCAAAGTTGGAAATTTTGCTGTTTATACCAAATACGAAATCGTTTTTCTTGTTTTGTGAACAGTGAATTGTCAAAAATGGAAACAAAATGAATTAACTTTGGCTTGGAGAGTTACAGCCGGTGGCAGTTTCAAATGATATAGTCTGAGTGAGCATGGTTATGAAAACTGCTTATTACCATAATTACATATCTACAATGATGCAATTCCTACGTAAGAGAATGCCAATAATCCCAACTAAAGGTGTGCCTAAGCTGAACTATGCTATGTAAAAATATAGTCCATGTTCTCAGCTACTATGTTACTTAATGAACTATTACTGATATTTAAAGAACATTTTCCCAATTAAGTAGCTCCTTTAAAAATACCCTCTAAGAAATTAATAATTCTTGCACTATGACAGAATTACTTGATAAGCTCCTTAATATATCAGAAATGTATGATATTCATTTTAGCAACACTTTCCAGCCCTTGAGATTGTCTCTACAACAAGCTATTGAAAGAAGTCTAATTAGGTTTAATAAACTGTCACCACCAAAATAAATTTCGCTAAAATATAATACTGTTAGCATTAAATATTGAATTCTAGGTACCACACTTCTTTTAAAATAACCTCAGGAATATCTTACCTAGCCAGTATTTGTGGTTTTTTGTTTTTGTTTAATTAGAGGCTACTGAAAATTAATAGTTCAAATTAAGTCATCTTACTTTTCTGACCTCAAGTGAAAAGACAGCTATTGTGCCTTTGATTCAGTGAATTTTATCTGTACAGGGAGTTTGGGTCTTTCATTGAGTCAACTGTTAGTTTATCCTTGCTGTAATGTGACTGAGGCCGAATAAGCTCAATTTTAAAACCCAAAAGAACAAAATACGAATACTAGAGAAGATACTTTGTAAGAAAACAAGGGTTGGATTCACAAAAAGCACAAATAAAACGAGGTTTCATTATCTAAGGAAATTTTCAAACAGATTCACCTTAAAATTTAGGTTAATTTTCATTTCAGGAATATACTGCTGTCATAACTTCCATGAACATCCTAGTTCAAACTGGGTGAGATGCTCTAGTGTTGCTATTTGCCCAGTTTATTTGGTCTAACAGTAAAATCTGTTTTTAATGTGATACAGAAGAGGACGTTCTAATACAAGAAGGTGTCCTGGGAAAGGAAAATTTTCTGAAAAATAAAAATAAAAAAGTAAATACTGACAAACCAGAATACTGTTAGTTTCAATTCCCCTACAAAATCCCCCCAAGTCTATCTACTGTTTATTTAGGCCCCTTTACAAACTCCAGATTTTAAGAGGATCAATCTATAATTCAACTAACTAAACTAGCACATCTTAACTCCCTTTTTTATGGGGGGGGGGGTACAGATTTTGGAAACTGAAATGCATCAGCAGTAGTTTGTTAACTTCCTACTAAGTCTGAAATTTTTTAACTTTAGAATTTTATTTTTAAGATATGTGAATTAAATTAATTTCTATAAGTTTTAGAAAGTTTACAAAAACAAATAAATTATTTTATCCCCAACTAAGCCAAAAAACAAAAATGTATCTATAGCAGATTTTAAAAAAACTGTAACGCTTGCTTAAAAACAAAAAACAAACATAAAATCCCAAAACATACACTAAAAATCTAGGAGAGATATTTAAGTAAGAACCTACTGATCCAATTAGTGATTGTTTGCCAATTTGTTTTTAGGAAGCCTTTATTTCCAAACTCGTGGGGGAGGGTGGTTGGGATTCTATTCAAAGAGAATGTAAAAATGTTTGCTGCACTTGTGGATGATCTATTTTAGATGTTATTATCTACTTTACCATAAAGGACCAAGGCAGAATTCTTTGCATCATATTTTTGGTAGAAATTTACTATACCCTGAATATCTTCAAGCTACTAATGTTAAAAAACCAAGTGAATATAATTAGAAAGTCAAATTCTTACTAGTGACTAAGACCCTCAAGGACTCTGGGATGCAGAAGCACTACAATGTACTGATTTCTTAGTGCCCAGATCCTCAGAAGTAAGAAGAGCAGGAAGGACTCAGGCACTGAACAGAATGAAAATCTGATGTCTTTACAGTGTATTATAACTGATTATTCAACTATAACCGTAAAATAATCTATTGAGAGCTGTATAAGCCAAAATTTCAAACTGAGTATCTTCCTGGGTAGTCTCCTTGAAGGCCTTGTCTCACATTTTCATTGTTACATACTTAAGAAAAATCTTTCCTAGATTTCCTAGCCTTTATTCTAGAATATAAGAAAACAGGCATGTGCTATGCCCTTTATCTGGCAAGAAAACAGGTGTGTGATATGCTCTTTATCAAATCAATATTATCCTGCTTGAGTCACACCCTCTACCCCTCCATCTCTTATTTAGTCTTGACCTAAATGAGACTTGGTTGCATCACAAGATCAAATCAACTTACAAAGGACAAGCAAGGCTTTGGCCATAACTAAGTATATTCAAAAGAACATAATCAATGCTGATGGCAATAAAATGTATAATCATTCCAAAATACCAACAGCAACATGGACAAAACTCATTTGGAAGTTTAAATGACTGTATGTCTACTGGAAAATCAATTGCATTTCATAGTAATACCCTGTAATTCAGATGAAGAACTAACCTTGTCAAGTTCATATCCTATGAAAAACTTTGTTGTTAATGTACTTTATCTAATAAAAGGAATTAAAATGCCATTTCAATTTAAAAATTTTTATGCTACTGTTGATTCAGATATAAACAGTATTGGCTTTCTCTTACAGTAGTTTCAACTTTGAAACAGATACAAAACTGTTAAAATGTAAATGTTGAGATTTGGATAAGTAAGCTATCGTTCCAGGGTAACTTTGTTAATCTTTCTTTTATAATAATGATCCAATGCCTTTATTAATTATATATGGCTTTGTTTACATTGATATATATATGTATATATATAAAACATATAAATAAAAAATTGTAAATAGTAAGGAACATGTTAAAATCAGTTCAAGTTATGTTAACCTTTCTTGTAACACATACATTACAACGCTAAGGAAAAAGAGCATCATGTCAAAATTTCACACCTCTTGGGAAATCCACAATCACTCTGGAAAAACAGCTGACATATCTATAGTACTAAAATCAGCTCAACCACAAAACATCCTATCAGTGCAGTAAGTGTTCAAAATACAAATGGTTTTCCCGCTGTACTATCATTACAACACTTGCCTGCTGTTGGAACTCTTGTTAAGCCAGCCACTGAAAATCCCAAAGTACAACACAAGTTTCTATATGAAAGAAATATAAGAATAAACAGCGGGTGCCTTTCTTAGAAGCTCTGCTCTGACCCTAGAAACCCTTATAAATTTGTGAATAAAGCATGTGCACACACACAACACACACACATGCACACACAAATACACGAAGCTATAGGATTAAAGGGAAGCCTACTCCTTCATGTGAAGGGTACTCTTCACAGCTTGGTCCTACAATCAGTAGTTTGAGAATACAGACATTTTTTTCTTGTAGATTTTATCATATTTTCCGAAGGTAATTTGATTTTTTTTTTTTTTGCCTGATTAGATAAGCCCCTTCAAAATCACTTCACTTCCCTTCTCCCCTTCAATAAAACAAATCCACAGAAAAAAATCCCTATGTGCAAGTCATGTCACTTGCAACCTTCCATTATGAGTCTGTAACACAGCAGCATTTAAACAACAGGTCATTATTGCTGTGGGACTAACACTTGATCACTGAGTAATGCAGTTGTCTCCCATGTCCTGAGCATAGCGGTCTGATATTGTAGTCCTTAATTCATCAATGTCTCTTCGTAACTGGCACACATCTGACAGCTTTTTAGTGAGTGTTTCTGTGCTGTGGTCATTCTCAGTCTCTTCAGCTGAACAGTTCATTGCTGTGTAAACAAAATATGGAGAGAATATCTCACATTTTTTTGAACAAAGACATTTTAGAATTTTTCACCTTAATCATCATGGAAATATAAATACCACACACTGAAAACCAGTGAGGCCCAGGTTCAAGTTATGTTTAAATCATACATCACTCAATATTAAACAGATCTTATCCGCTTGGTCCTTTATAAATTTCACAAATTAAAATGAATTAATTAAAATTCACACAAATTAAAATTCACACAGTGATACACACAAATTCAGCAAGTTTAATGGGTAACAACATTCCAAAAGTGAAAAAGAGCACACTCTAATGTCTCTCTTCCAGCTCAACTAGAGCACTCAGTTTTCCCATTTGGCAAAATCTGAAGACCATTTGTGTAGTGAGAAGTGGCATCTTAAATATTTACGAATGCAAAGTGGGTTTATTGCCATGAAAATATTAATTTTCAAATATATAGTGTCACACACATACATACACACGCACACACACAGAGTGGAGAGTGGGGAGGGAAAATGAGAGAGACAGACAGGGAGAGGGGGAGGAAGAGTGAAAGCTAGGATCCTACAATCCCAAACAACTGAATCAGGCTGATAGCTGGCTGCCTTATGGCTAAATAACTGAGGGCCTTGAGTCAGCCAGCTTTTAATTATTTACTTCAGTTCTTCTCTTTGTAAGCATATCTCAACATAAAATCAGGCAGAGCTAGTGATTACAAAAGAAACCTCTCCTTATACCTTCATAGTAGTTTACTGTAGCATAACAGTCAGTGAGTGACTGTTATTTTAGCAAATGTTAACTGAACATCTGCCATGATATAGGAACTGTTAGATGTTGAAATCAGAAAAGGAACAGACACAGTGGCTTATTCTCGATGCTTTACATACAATTCCATAAACAAATGAGCACAGTGAGGTACCGTAGGTAACCTACCACTATATACAAGTTGCAGTGGCATAAAAGGAAGAAAACAAAACTAGTCCTAACTGGAGAGGCAACAGTTGCTTGTTCACTGGGTGGGCCAAACTGCAAAATGAACAAAAGTGGAGTCAGAAAGCAAAACAATCTGATAGAATTTGAGAAACCTCAAGAAAATCAGTATCTAGGCTCTAAAATGGTAGAGTACAAATTGTGACAAAGGAGAGTACCAAGAAATAAGACTATAGACGTAGGTAGGAGGTAGGAGCTACCTATCTCGACCATAGAGCAGTGTAAGCATTAGGAAACCAGGTTTATAGTTGAGACAGATCTGTCTGGCAACAAAAATGGATTAGGGAGAGGGGGTGAGAAAGATGGTTGTCAGAGAGACCAGTATAGGTGACCGGTTATGAAAACTTAAATTAAGGCAACAGTACAATGGAGATAGAAAGGCAGGAATGTTAGATGTAGTAAGCAGATGACAGAACTGATAACACTCAATCATCATCAACTGGAGTGAGGGGCAGGGATTGGGCACAGGTGCCAGATGAAGGAAAAAGCAGAGTGGAGAATAAAATCTGGGTTCAAGTGACAGGTGAATGGTGGTGTTACTCATTGAGAAGAGGAACAGTTCAGGGAGGGAAGGAAAGTGTGTTCTGGTTTTCAACGTGTAGAGTCTGTGATGCATTCGAAACAGCCAATTCTAATATACATGGGAATATAACCTGCAACCCTGAGGAGATAAACGTCTGGGTAAAGGAGATAAATGTCTAGGTGAAAGGTATGGCAGTAACAGAAACAACCGGAGTGAATAAGATCACTCAGATAAAGTACTGAATAAAAAGAAACAGACTAAAAACCAGTAACAAAAGGCTTCTGGGGATACCAATAATTAAGTGACAGAGAAGTCCACAGAAGACAGAGACTGAGCAGTCATAAAGGCAGAAGCAGAACCTAGAGAATGATGTCATGGAAACCAAGGTAACACAGTTTTCAGAAGGACAGAGTGAGCAAATGGAGTCATTAATCGACCGGTTTTTCACAAATCAACTGGCTGGTAAAATTTTCACAATGCCAAACGTAAGGTAAGGATTCTGGGGTCAAACTTTAAAGACTAGAAGGAGCACTGGGAGGTGGGGGTGGTAAGATTCATATTAGGATAGCTCTACTACTTTATTACTGAAACACTTAACAAACGCTACCTTATGATAGTGAAAATGTAGGAGACTCTCAAGTAATTAAAAGGGTGACCAACTCTAAAATCGTGGAGAAAATGAGTTCCCTTTGTGTGTGAGCTTTGCTTCTTGCTCCCAAAAGATATTAAAGCACTCCATGTTCACCTGGCAAACTTCTCCACTTCCTCCTCTAAGAGCGCCACTGAACACCAGGTACTCTGTGGAGTCTCCACAGCCCTTCCCATGTAGATTTAGTTGTTTTTTTCCTCTTGTGCTCCCACTGTCCTTTGTCCACATCTCAACTATAGCACCTATCACAATGCTCTAATAATTTGGTTAATGTGTGGACAAGGACTGTGTTCGGGTTATCTGCATTACCGGCATCTACTAGTGTCTGGATCATAGAAGGCATTTGATAAATGTTTATTCCGCGAGTGAATATACTTAAACATTATGTTTTTTTTCCATATCCACACTTGTGTATGTGTACAAATGTCTATGAAATGAAAGGGACATAATTGAGCACAGATAATGCTTTATTTAACTAGTGATATACTTTGGTCAAGAGCATTGATTTGCCAATAACTATCATGATGCAAAATGGTGGAATCTTTTTGATGAAACTAGGAACAAAACCAGTCACAGTCACCCCTCTAGTCATATATTACCATTATATTAGGCAGCTACTAAATATACATGTTGGCTCATAAACCTTATTATGTGGTCTTACTCCATTCCTATTTCCTTCCAAGTTCATTTATTCTCTATTAAAAAGAGACTAACATCCTGATTTGGAATCACATGCAGAGATGGGCGTTTCTGCAAAAGTAGCATAGAAAGGAAGGGACACTGGGATTATCACTGTGGCAGCTCTCACAATTATGTGTGGAGGAAGATAGAATTGAGGCCAAGAGTGAATGGGTGTCACATTAAGCCAGTAGGTATGCCTGACAAAGGCAACAGATCTGTAGGCTGTGAAAACTGGCTCATGTGAAATCACTGGCACTCACGTGAAGCAGCTGCCATAGAACATACACTGCACTGGAAAGCAAAATATTTCTCAAACATTTTACCAGTGGACAATATGGCCGGGTCACTTAATCTATGCAACTAACACATGAAAGCAAATCAAAGGTATCATTATTTTTGGGAGAGTAAATGGGAAGTCACACCTAACTATCACTCTACTCATTTATTTACAGATTCAACATAGGAAATATCACCAGGCATTCTGCCAAGCGGCAGTTAATGTCAGCTATAACTCCACTCACTTCTAGCAATGAAGTAATAACAGGTATACATAAACCCACAGACTGATTCTAAGTAGGAAAGGAGATTACAAAAATAAACAGAGAAAAGGCAGTCAGAAGTTCCTGACTCATGAAGACAGGTTTCTAATTGCCACAAAATAAGGACAAGTCATCAGACACTTACATCTTATTCCCAGTAATAATGAAAGATTAGGCTCCTTGCCCTGAGCACGCTGATTAAGAATACTGCACAATGCTTTCAAGTCAAACAAACAACAGGACATTTCCTTGAACAGCTGATCAATCACAGTCAAATCAAATAGTGGCCGTTTGGAAAGAACTGTCTGCTGCCTAGATTGGTCAGCTTCCTGGCCCTGATCCAATAAAGAGCATGTCTCATCTGTTTGTCTTTGGTTCTGCAAGGATAAAGAAAACAAACATCAGATGGTTACAAGAGAGGAAAGGTACTCAAAGCCATACAGGTTAACATTTTCCCCCAAGTCTATAAACGAAACAGTGGAGTCATATTATATGCACATTAACCAAATTCAACTACATATATGCAGTGGAAAAAAAAAAACAAAAAAAAAAAATAATTTAAATAGTGAAAACTGTTTCTCTGTGCCATCTGATACTTTAGTGTATATCCAAAGGAGGAAACAAATCCAGTCTCTGTTTCTAGGAGTCTCTCACGTAATAAGCATGTTGGTTGTGTATGTATTTTTCTTTTTTGGGTCTCACTCTGTCACCCAGGCTGGAGTACAGTGTCACAGTCATGACTCACTACTGCAGCCTTGACCTCCTTAGGCTCTGGTCATCCTCCCACCTCAGCCTCCTGAATATCTGGGACCACAGGTAAACACCATCACGCCTAGCTAATTTTTGTATTTTTTGTAGAGAGAGGGTTTTGTCACATTGCGTAAACTGGTCTCAAACTCCTGGGGTGAAGTGATCTGCCCACCTCAGGTTCCCAAAACAAAGTATTAGGATTACAGGTGTGAGCCACCACACCCAGCCTGTATTTTCTATAATGAGATTTATTCCAAGAATAAAAAGAACTACAAAGTAACTCTGAACCTCACACTGTGTGGTTTTTATTGTTAGTAGCAATAGTGATTTAATTACTTTGAAACTACTTTTTGCACGTTGGTGGGGGGAAAGCATCTATGTTAATGTTGATAGGAACCAAAAACTTCAATGTAAGAGACAAAGAAATACAAAAGAAAAACTCAACAACTCTGAACTGCTGACCCCCAAAATTGCTACCTTCTTATCCTGAAAACTGCTAATTAAAGGTAACTTTAATTAGCTTTCCAATTGGAACTGTATTTCAGAATAACAGTGACAACAGTCTGGGGTGATGGGGAAAAAACTTTTTTATAGATGAATGCCAGCTAATAAATATATACTGTACTGTAATTATGTGAAACTGTATTCTAAAACACAAGTGAAGTAAAGGCTTGTCTTTTTATAATAATTTTGGTAAGAAACAATGGAATTAATTAACAGGCATATCAAAATCATGTCTTTAATCTGAAAATGCTCTATTAATATCTATAAAAATAAGCATCTGCTTAAATAGGTAGTGAATCATTCTTTCAAAGCAAATTGAATTTCTTCTACTCACTTCAAGCAATGCTTTTGTTAATCTCTGTAGGTTTCTTTCTTTCTTTTCCAGCTCTTCCATCATCTTTTGAGTGGTCAGTTTCTCTTTCGAAAGCTTTCCTTGCATAGACTAGAATTGTTAAAAAATTGGAAAGCAAAACAGGTTAACATGTAAAGAAAAATCTCAAACAGAAATAAGTAGGAATGTTGGCTCTGAATACTTTAGATCTTCTTTCCTCCCTATCCCCTTGGAAAATGAAGCCTTCACTTTTAAATTAATCCTTATCAGTTAGAGAGTAGCTGAATCCAAATAAAAAAGAAAAAGAAATGCCAGTTTCCCAGAATACATTTGGATTTTTAAAAATTACAGTTTTTACCAAGGAAGTTTTTAATTTGTATAAAACATGTCAAATCTGAAGTTCCTACTTAATGTGGTATTACAAAGTTATTTCATTAACTTTTTATATGTTGAGAGTGTATTAGCAACAAATCTATACTTTTGTTTTACATTTTGCTTACAGTTAATGAGATGCAAGATAATAAGATCATGATATCATCCCTATTTTCTATCATTTGAAACATAGTTCCCATCTTTCAGTGTATAGTATTTCAAGCAGTAAATACACTGTGAACTCTGGTCAAAGGTCTATTATGGGAATTTGATAAGCTAATTTCCTTCTTACTCCTTATAAAATTGCAAATTATCTAGACATGACACCATTGTGAGTACGCCAAAGCAGCATAAAGGACATTTTGAGTCTTTGGTTAGTGTCTTATTTTTCACCTATATATTAAAAGAAAAAAATTCCATACACCCTGCAGTTATTAGTGAATTCTAAGTGTTTCTATCAACTATTTTCCTTTTATTAGATGACAAAATCAATAAACATATGACCAGAAGAGAGGTATCATTTTATTTCAGGTCTGTATTTAGTCTCAATTCTGACAATATTTCAGGTTGCTGACCACCTAAATAGCACACAATCTACTACAAAGGTATTTTCTTCACATTATCTTTGGATGGGATAAGAAAAGATAGCGATCACCATGGGTTGAAATAAGACTCCATAAATACAAAGCAGTTTTATCGGTAACAGATATTCAAACTTGTTGCTTTTAAATTTCATTTGTCTGCTAAACTCTGAAAAAAAATATTACATTTAGTAACTCAGAAGTTGGATAGAAATGAATCAAACTCTGTAACAAGTGTTTCTCCTTCCAGGGAAAAGTTGTTTTATATTCCATAAAGATGAGTCTCACAGCACAGTCAATATGGGGCTCTCTGAATATGTGTATTATTGAAAACTGAAATTTCCTTTGTAACTTCATTAGATTGAATCAATCCTTATCTGATTAAATGAACATGGAGATTTATTCACCTAGCTGAAGATCTATGCTTTCTGGCTTAACAAGATTATTTGGCTGGAATCCAGAATTCAACCTAAATTTTCTCAAGATTTGTGATTGTTTATTAGAATTACAGAAGAAAGGCACCATAGACACACTACTCAAACTCACATTCTAACAACAACAACAACAAAAAACTAAACCCAAGAGGGATGTTTTATATTTTTATCAATTCAGAGTCATGTTGAATGTGACTAATAATTAGCTAATAAATCCAACCAATATGTCCCTATGTAAGGCTGATTTTAATCAATGCAGAAACAGGCAATCTTCTACATCAGAAAAACTGAAACTGTCTGGCAGTAGTGTCATTTATCACAAAAAGGAAAATCAGATTTCTCTTATGTTGCCTGAATTCAAGGGAAGTTACCAAGAAGCACTTTAACAGGTAAAAGACATTGCAGATAGGCTTATCCTGAAAGGACCAAGTGCTGTACAATCTCTAGGATAATACTAGGTATGAGTGCTATAGTTGTCTGACAATAACATTTAGTCTGAAACATTAATTACTTCTCTATCCTAAATTGCATTAAGATATGTTTAAAAGATAAGAAAACAAGAAAGAAATTCTATCAAGAATAGTGTGTGTTATTTTACAAATACCTTTTGCAGAGCATTTTTTTGAAATCTCTTAAGCTCTTAAAATATACTTGCTCAAACTGGTAGTACTTTACAATGCATAAATGAAATAATCTCATGTTTTCTGAAATGAGTTGTTTAGCTTTGTGAATTTCACGATAACTGTTTATCATTCACTAGACATGTAGTGGATTAATAAAATTAAAAATTAATTTGCAAAAACCTACAAAAGCTCTCAATTCTCAGTTTAATCATGACATTTTAAAATTCTGCTAAGGTACTAACCTACAAGGTCTTTATAATGATCATCTTTGAAGTTGAAAAGTGGTATTAAGCAAATTTATTGTTTTGATGTAAGTATTGAGAAATGCTTCATTTACAAATAGCTTAAATGAGGGAGAACCAGGTGTGCCTTAGTTAACAGATTCTATATAATCCACAAACCTAATTTAAAAGGAATTATTTTGAAAGTAAATTTATGTTAACATTTTTACTGCACATATATACACATAAACATGCTTAACCACCTAAGAAATTCACAAGGAACTTTCCTTCATGCAATCATTCATTCAGCAAAAACCATTGCCAAACACTGCTCTGTTCATTGAGTGATACATCAGTGAACAAAACAGTCAAAACTCTTGGCCCTTGTGGAACTTTATACTAGGAGAAAAAAGACCAAAAGAAATAAAATAAATATTCAAGTTACACAGTATCATATATTAGAATTTGACTAGTGCTGTAGAGAACAAACAGAGCACAGTAACGGTCAGGAGGCTGAAATCTCAGGTAAGCAAGGGTTTGAAGGATGACAGACTGTGTCCCAGAGATACCCAGAGAGTTTCTGTCGGTACAAAGGTTCTGGGACAGATGGTGTCTTCTGTGTTTGAGAAAAAGTAAGAGAGCCAGGATGGCTGAGAATAGTAGGAGAGTCAGAGAAGGAAGACAGCATGCGGAACAGATTGTATAGGGCCTCAGAAATCAGTATAAGAACTTCGATTTTTATTCTGGAAAAAAATGAGGATCCACTGAAGAGTTCTGAAGCAGAGACATGATGTAATCTGATTTTTGTTCAAAAGGATCACTTAACCTAATGAGAGTATACTGTACACAGGAAAGGGTAGAAGCATAAAGAAATAACCCAGATGAGAAAGGAAGACGGCTTGGAACAGGGTGGCAATGGAAGAGGCAAGGAAAAGAGGTCAGATTCTAGACATACATTCAAGGCAGTAGAATTTGCTGACAAATGTGAGGTAAGTGAGCAGTCAAGGATAAGTCCAGGATACCTGGACTGAACAAATGGAAGGGCAGAGATGCCATTAATAGGAAGTCTGAAATGTATAGCAGGGTGTTTTTTTTTGGTGATGGGGAGATAAGAAATAGAAAAAAGAGGCTTTTTTACGTTTCTAAGAATCTAAGACAATGTACAGCTCAAATTCCTTTCTTAAGTTAGTTATCATCTTGTAATTTGATAAAACTTTGAAAACAATCTGCCTGGAGTTCTGCTTCTAGCATGGACTAGAAGCAGAGTTGAGGAGCTCCACAGACCCACTCCTCAATGAAATTGGTGAATATTATCATTTAAAATTTCTGGAAATGGTCCTAAGAGCATATAGCAAATGAAGAAACATTTACTCAAGAATATCTCTGCTTCACAAAAGGATTCTAGGAGGAAAAAAATGAAACAAAACTCAACTCCATTTCTGCCTCCTCACATTTCATTGAGATGGAAATTCTACTTCCTGTCTCTTATACACATCTAGATGTGTATAAGAGACAGTCACAGCACAGTCAATATGGGGCTCTCTGAATATGTGTATTATTGAAAACTGAAATTTCCTTTGTAACTTCATTAGATTGAATCAATCCTTATCTGATTAAATGAACATGGAGATTTATTCACCTAGCTGAAGATCTATGCTTTCTGGCTTAACAAGATTATTTGGCTGGAATCCAGAATTCAACCTAAATTTTCTCAAGATTTGTGATTGTTTATTAGAATTACAGAAGAAAGGCACCATAGACACACTACTCAAACTCACATTCTAACAACAACAACAACAAAAAACTAAACCCAAGAGGGATGTTTTATATTTTTATCAATTCAGAGTCATGTTGAATGTGACTAATAATTAGCTAATAAATCCAACCAATATGTCCCTATGTAAGGCTGATTTTAATCAATGCAGAAACAGGCAATCTTCTACATCAGAAAAACTGAAACTGTCTGGCAGTAGTGTCATTTATCACAAAAAGGAAAATCAGATTTCTCTTATGTTGCCTGAATTCAAGGGAAGTTACCAAGAAGCACTTTAACAGGTAAAAGACATTGCAGATAGGCTTATCCTGAAAGGACCAAGTGCTGTACAATCTCTAGGATAATACTAGGTATGAGTGCTATAGTTGTCTGACAATAACATTTAGTCTGAAACATTAATTACTTCTCTATCCTAAATTGCATTAAGATATGTTTAAAAGATAAGAAAACAAGAAAGAAATTCTATCAAGAATAGTGTGTGTTATTTTACAAATACCTTTTGCAGAGCATTTTTTTGAAATCTCTTAAGCTCTTAAAATATACTTGCTCAAACTGGTAGTACTTTACAATGCATAAATGAAATAATCTCATGTTTTCTGAAATGAGTTGTTTAGCTTTGTGAATTTCACGATAACTGTTTATCATTCACTAGACATGTAGTGGATTAATAAAATTAAAAATTAATTTGCAAAAACCTACAAAAGCTCTCAATTCTCAGTTTAATCATGACATTTTAAAATTCTGCTAAGGTACTAACCTACAAGGTCTTTATAATGATCATCTTTGAAGTTGAAAAGTGGTATTAAGCAAATTTATTGTTTTGATGTAAGTATTGAGAAATGCTTCATTTACAAATAGCTTAAATGAGGGAGAACCAGGTGTGCCTTAGTTAACAGATTCTATATAATCCACAAACCTAATTTAAAAGGAATTATTTTGAAAGTAAATTTATGTTAACATTTTTACTGCACATATATACACATAAACATGCTTAACCACCTAAGAAATTCACAAGGAACTTTCCTTCATGCAATCATTCATTCAGCAAAAACCATTGCCAAACACTGCTCTGTTCATTGAGTGATACATCAGTGAACAAAACAGTC